AATAATGCAGAATTTTGCTATGGGGCCCTAGTTTCAACCCATCCCTAAATATTTTACTGCTATGTCCCAGTTTAAATTTACCCTTACTACCTGGTCTGACACCCGAAAGTGAGCAAAAATTTCCCCAACAAAGACAGCAATAAAAGCTTAACAAAGGTGCTAATCCTTTACATTGCCATGCCAAAGTGAAAATAATAGTCTGAACTGGAGCTGGTTTTTAATGTCTTGAAGAAATATTTTCTTTTGTTTAACCAACAATTCTGCTTTTTCTTCAGGCTTAAGAATCAATGAGGTAATCTATTAGACTAATTGTGTAGTCCTAGGGGAATATATTTATAAAACTTCAGACTCTTTCACCGTATTAAATTATTCAATGACATTTATCGACAGCATTCACCATATTTGTGTACAAGTTCAAGCTGGTGTATATGTGGTGAATGTTTCATGTATAGTAGGAGCATTTTTGTGCAAATGTTTAGTGAATGTGCAGAAGAATAAGGCCCCATGCGCACTGGCTCCATGCAAATTTTTTATGATTCCCAGATAACTTTTTCCTGTGTTTAGATGTTCCTGGGTTTAGCTGCATTTACATTTGTGTAGGCATGTTTAGCCACTTAAAATCAGGCAAAACAGTCCCAGTATGTAGAAAATTCCTTTTTGTATGAACTCAGGTATACTGAATGCACCTAGATGCTGCTGAATGTCTAGGTGTGCAGCAGAGCCGTAGCTAACTCCTGAGGCAAGAACAGAAAATTGTGCCCCCCAACAATCGGGTGCAGTATGTGACGTCATGCGCCCCACCTCCAGGATGGCAGAGCGCATGTGTTTTTTCACTGTTGGGGGGCTTCGGGAAAATATCAGCGGTCTAAATAGACCCCTGACATTTCCCTTTTGAAATAGAAAAAGAGATTGAGGACACAGAGTTCTCTACCCATACAGGTGGGGGAGAGCAGCAGGGATCCGAGGAGAAGCTGGAGCCTGTGCCGCTCCTCTTTTCCCTGCCGAGCCTGGCACCCCTGTTACCAATGGCACCCTGTGCTCGTCTGGCTGCGCCCCCTCTCAGCTGCCCCTGAGGCGAGTGCCTTACTCGCCCCATGGTAGCTACAGCCCTTGTGTGCAGTCAGCCATAGCACAATATTATATGTTTCCAGGTGGATTTTGAAATGAGCTCCAAGCACATACTAGAAGCTTGTATTTTAATTGCTGTGTGCATGGGGCCTAAGAATTAGGGAGAAGAAAGAGAGTCCTTTGTCTCAGCAAAGCTCATTTTGAGTGTTAATTCTATTATTATTTTGGGCTGAAGTTATACAAGGGAGGCATTATAAAAAGGTATAACTTATTTCTAAATTTGCCCACATTAAACAAAACGGTGGAAGCCCATAGGGGGTTAATGTTGAATGGACGGAGCTTGCCATTTAAATCCTGCAATGGAGGCTTCTTTCTGCCCTGGTAAAGTTTAACAATCATGTGGATGAAACACATAGGCTAGTTGACCTGGAAGTACTGGATTATCCAAACTGCTGCTTTGTGTCACCACATGCGATGCCGCTGCAGGAGCTGTCACGGTTCTACCTGACCATGCTAGCAAGCTGAAGGCTTACTGTTATGAAAGTATTAGCATGGGTTTACAGGAAAGCGAAGATAGAAGATACAATAGAATATAATAAAGGACATAATGTATATGGTTATAAATATTTGGAGAAACCCTGTAGAAGCATTTCTCAGGCATGTTGCCTGGGTAAGGTGCAAGTTCTGAGGTCCCTGCTTCCGAGACCTGCAGTTTGTGGGGGTTATAGCCACTGGAAAGTCCAGTTCATGCCTTCCAGTCCCCTTGCCTGTGGAAGGAAGCTGAAGCAGAAGAAAAGTCAATTGTTCATCTGGGCTGACAGATCCCCAAGGACAAATTACCTGTCTGGGCTTAAAGGTACACAACTGGTCTGTGAGAGGGACCAAAGATATTTAAAAGGTAGCTGTCTATCTGGCCTACCAAGTCTGCATTAGTCTGTGGCAGAGGTTACAGATAATATAAGGTACTGCTGAGCAGGGGTAATTTTTGTTGCTTTGTTTGGCCATCCTGTACCCCAGCCATCTCTCCTGTGAACAACTGAGCCAATAAAAAAAGGTAAAAAGAAGATTGAGGTAGTGCAAGTCTGTCTGTCATCATTGGTGGGTTGGCGAGTGCCTGGGCCCAACTACAGGGCAAATCACCATTAGAAAAACTAGGAGGGCCCCCCCCAAAAAAGCAGCATTACTGTCACATTATGCCACATTAACCTTTTTATAAATATAGCCTAAAGAATTTTCAAACCTGGTGTTGAGAAGTCAAGATCTCCTCTGGCTCCACATGAACTCACAGCTAGCCATATTAACACATGAAATCTAGAATAAATGGAATGGAACTACCTCCATCCACTCCCATAATAAAGCGACCGATGATGACCATTTCAGGAATGTCTGCTAGATTCGCTAAGGACATCAATAATGCTGCTAATATTGCAAACAAATTGTTGAGGAGCAGTGTTCTTTTTCTGAAATACATACAAAGAGAACAGAAGCATTAGACATTTACATTTGTCTTTTTTGTTTACAGCATATTGTACAATAGTCCATATTCCTGTTCAGTCTGGACTTCTACCCACTAAAGAAGAAGTATGCTGTGGTTGTGTTAAAACATGAGCAGATCTGAAGTTACTTTTGCAATTCCATGCTGTTAGGCTTTACAGGACCTAACTGTCTAGGATAGCCAGAGTAATGAGCAAAGTGTGTGTTTTGTATTTGGAGGGAGTATGGAATAGTTAAGACCCCTGCCAAGTTTTTGTTTTGTTATTTTTTTTCAGTCTGCATGGACTTGGAGAAAAACCCTAATTTCCTGTTGCAGGGCGTAAGAGGAAGTTTCTCCAAAGTAAGGGGATATCCCCTCTTAGACACTTATCACCAGAACATCTCTCATCACCTTTTCTGATGACAACAAATTTTAGATTTACCATTAGTTTCTGTACCGGAGACCTCACAAAGAGTGAGGATGAATATCCCCAGTGGGACACAATCATCAATAAAAATGTGAAAGCCGTCCTAACCCTTCTATATTCTATCCAAAACTAAGGGGTCTATTCGCAAAGCTGCCATAGGCAGCCGAGTGAACAACCGACCCGAAGTGAAGTGAGCCGAACACTGTTCGGCTATTCACTTCAGGCTTGTACGGCTGATTTCAGCCGTATATCGGCTGTAATCAGCCGTACATCGGGTGGCTTCGGGTCGGCCAAACATGCTCAGCAGAATAGAAAAGCTGTTACCAGGTAACCAGGGACGCCTTCTGTCATTACACACAGAACCCGACAGGTTCTCAGTTTAATGATATCTGGTAACCAGGGATGCTGATCTCTCTGCAAGTGGCCGGCCGATAGCTGTAAGAAGCAGGCTATCGGCCGGCCAATGGCCAGCTTCAAATTTCCCCTGGGCTCAGTCGAGCTGAAGCATATGCCTTCGGCTCGACTGAGCCCCTCGGCCAACTTCGGGGGCTGTACGGGCTATAGTGAATAGCCCGTACAGCAGCCCTGAACCCAAGGGGTCCTGGGGTCGAAGCTAGCTGAAAAGAGCAGCCGAAGCTACGGCTAGATCCTTCGGTAGCTTTGTGAATAGACCCCATAGAGAACAGTTTAGGCACTATATACACTTTATTATCGCAAAAAATCGCTCTCAGCAATACCAAATTCCTTCCCATATTATCCATCTTACAGTCATTATGGTAAAATACATAAATAAAGTGGTTTATTTTATTTTAAAATAAGTTAGAGACAAGGACGTGATGCTGCATAGGAACAAGTTAATGTGTTATTATACTAAGCTCTTTTCCATAACTGGCCACAGTTAATTAGTGTAGGATTATTATTCCATCTAATAGATCCTAAATAAGTTGACAGCCTGATCTTCTCATACTGTATAGTGATAATAGTATCAGTCATGTAATAAAGGAATGTACAACTGTTCTAGAGATCAAGCCTTTTTCCAGCCTGGATGGCACCTCATCAGATGATAGTGGAGTATTCAAGGTCTCCCTCATGTTTAGGAATTCAGAGACAACATCCATACTAAATATTTTTGTTATAGGAGTTCACAGTGTATTTGCGATATTAAACACAGAAAATTTTGTCCTTATACTTTTTTTGTGATAACGTTTTGTTTGGTTTGGACTTTGAGTATGCTGTATTCACATAAATGAATATATGTTGCACACGTGATAATGAGTTTTTTTATAAGGTTATTTTTGTATAACATCCATACTAAGCAGCAAAACGCATGTAATAATGCTTCTAATTCAAGCAACTCTGACCTAATATTGGCTCAGAATAACAAGAAACCGATTATAAGAAAACCCAAAGAAGTCTAAAACAGAGTAGAAAATTTATAATATAATATTGCCAACATCAAAAATTAAATTGACAAAAAATTATAAAACAACACAACCGTCACTGATAAAAGGTTTCTGAACAACCTTACCCCACACAACACATTTTCACACACAAGTCTGATTGCAATGCTCATTTGCCAAATGTGCATAGTCCCGAGGCTGGATCAACTTTAACCCTTATATCAGTCTATGAGGATATGCCGAAAAATGTAGTCTCTGCTTCAATGTTAACAGAATGCCAGTAAAGGAGCTTTAAATCGATCATCCATCTTAGCCATGTCAGTCAGTGATCAGTCAGGCAAAGAAAGCAGTGCATTTGCCAAATAGACCCAAAGTTGCAAATAAATTGAGCTCTCGTATTAAGCTGGCTTTCAAGATAAGATACAGTTAGTAAACATCATGTTGAGGAAGTTCATTCATATGCTTGGAAGCATTCAAATCCTCCGTTTCTTTACCCGCAAGGAAGATACATATGAGCTAGAGTTTTATATAGCAACGTATTACTTATCTGGAGAGACGAGACAATAATGCCGCAAAAAATGTAGTTGTGAAACAGCAGAGGCACCCAGATGGAAGAAATGAAGTAACCGTGTTTCTTCAATTTAGACTTTTGTTCCATGAAACCTATACACAACTAATACAGTCTCAACACCTTTTTTGGCTCTAGGCTGACCACTTCATCAGGAGCGTGTGATGAGACACTTTAAGATGAGTGGTAGCATCTCCTAGCATGTGTTACATCCTGGAATGTGCTACATCCTGGAATGTGCTACATCCTGGCTCTTCTGCTGTCTCTAACCAACGTTTTTTGGGGCATTCTTGTCTCGTCTCTCCAGTAGACATTGGGCCCCTCTAGCTGACAAGCTCTGGATCATCTGAACTCCACCCTGACAAGCATCAAGAGCGACCATCCTTCACAGGGGCAGAAATATTCCCAGCACAACTGTTTTGCACCTTAGGTTGCCTGATATCCCCAAGGGGATTTCTCACAAATGTACCTATGTGAACATCAAACTCTTTCTTCTTCATCCACCTAAACAATATCTATCCATTGCTTTGTTGTATAAATACTAGACTTAGTCAGATCTCTCCTGAGACTTTTTGTCATCAATTTTGTTGCTTCTACTACTAGTTGTCTTTCTTTCAAGCTTAGTGCTAATCTAATTGTTCAGTAATGAAACTTGGAATAAAGGCAACTGATCTTTGGATTTCACCATGTCATAAAGTTTCTTTCTTTCCTTTGGTTGTTCTATTCATGGATCTCCAGACGTTCATTACATTTATTTAGCTAGTGGCAGGTGTCAGTGTTCACTCCCATTTCTTCTGTTCGTGTATGTATCTACTTTTTCTGTATTTTTGGATACCTCTCCATCGACAAGGCAGCTGCTCTAGTATGGTGTTAGTTTAGCCCTTTAAATTGGCTACATAAGCCTAGCACAACCTTATCGCCAGGACTCACAGTATGCTTCCTGTCACTCGGAATAGGCAACACAAGGTACCCAATATTATCTTTATTAGCTGGGCAACCCACTTGTTTACTTGTTTGTGACCCCCTGATCCTGGTTTCACTTAGCCTTTATCAGCTACTCCTAAGGAGAGGGACGTTGGATAGGTGAGGATTTTCTTCAGGGACTGCTGCTTAGCCCAACAATCAAGGAATTGATCCCTTTATAAAGAAAAAAAAACAGAGTACATAACAGAGTTTGTGGCTAAAAAGGTGGTGGCCAACATCTCTCAGTGCCTGCTCCAAGGCATGGCATTTACGTTTAGAAGTTTAAAATGGCTGACAGGTTTTCTTTAAAGGGCTGTGAATAATGCAAGTACAACCCTAAAGATAACTGCATTGCTTGAGACTGCCAGCTTGTTCCACAGACTCTTGATTGTCTCTTAATGTACATGTGCAATCTAGTAAAATGGCAATTTGGCAAAGAATTTCATAAGCAGGGAGGAGGATGAGATATTTCTCATGAAGTGTATGTACTGTGCAGTTTTTCAAGTTTGCACGATCTGCTTTAAGTATGACTAAAAACGAAAAGAAAAGTGCACTACAAATATGGCCCCAACATGTATTTGTTCAGTTTTATTTCTTAGAAAGGTTTTATATGTTACTTGTGTCAGTTCATATTTAATTATTTAAAGGTTCAGTACATCCAAAACTGACTATAGCCGGTATATCTCTTGGGGATTACAGTGGTGACATCTACCTGCCGTAGTTCCCAGTTCTGCACCCAAAACCATGGAATCTCCCTCCGTCTGCTGCAACACAAGTCTTACCCATACCGCACTAATTCCAAATTGTAATATAAAAAATTCAGTCCATAGATAGACCCCCATCTAAGCTATGCCCATTTGGCAGATGGGATTTCTAGTGTAAGATTTCATTGCTCACTGAAGTTCGACAACCTCCATGACCCATCACATTGTTAAAACACTTTACTCATGAACTTCTCTTTACCTAATTAAAACACCAGGCATTTAACAAAACCATTTTATAGGCCTATGCATCACTCAATTCCCTATGTATTTTGGGGAACTGTAAATTCTTTGAGATGGAGTTGTTATCAGAGATAGTATTTATACAGAGGGAATAAAATACTTCCTCACTGGCCTAAACAGTGAGATAATCACTCTCCTGCTTGCTGAAACACTGCCGAATTGCCTTTGCCAGCAAGAGAGCAATGCCTTGGGGTCAAGTTTTTTTGGCTTTTATCGCAATATGATCACTGGCAATTCACCACCAGTGACTGGATCACTAGTGTGTCATAGACCATTGAGTTCAGACCAGACTATAGGAGCTTTTACTTAAAAGTCAGAGATAACCAATTTTGGCCCCTTATAAAGTGTGCCATGTCAAAGTGTTTAGAGTTCCCCAAAATACTTAATAAACTGGTGGTAAATCAGCTCACTGGTATATCCTTATTGGATGGACTGTCTCTTTAAAATGGGAAGGGAAACCAAAGGTGGACATTGGTACCAGAATTTTTCAAATTCACAAAACTGCTGCAGCCATTGCAAAAACGAAAGAGGGTGTCACACTTCCCTGATGGTCTTTTAGAATTCAGAACATGCTAACAAATAAGGTCTCCACCGGTGACACTTTCATTATGACATTGTGTGAGGGAACCTACAGGAACCTAGAGGTGCTGCATATACCTGCAGCAGCTTTCAATACCCTCTTTTTTGCCCGAATGCCAAGCTGTTCTGATTGGGTAAAACTGCAGCACTTTTGAATAGTGTTGATGCTTGCCTATCCTTTTTCATTTGCCACACATTGGTAGTGGCTATTAAGACAGCCCATAATACTGATGGGCAAAATAGAAATGTGTATGGGAGGGGCTTAGATGTGACATTGTGGAGTCAAGGCAGCGCATTCCACCATGACTAGTGTATCAACCGTGGGCTCATGCTGGTCTGCATGCTCCTCATGTGTGGGGCGCCAGGCATCCCATCACATTTTACATTAACTTCTTGTTTTGTGGCTGGCTTTGTAATGGCTGAGATCCTCTGGTATACTTGAACACAAGGCTCTCTGGGTACTCATGACCTTAGGTGGAATCACTGCACCTTGCCCCTTCGTGGCAGAGCCCACATCTGAGAGGAACCTGACCTAGCTTGACCAGTATTACTCATGACCTCTCCCCACATACACTCCTTTAGTTATTACTGTGGTAGGTAGTCTAGCCCACCTCAAGCTTGTTACAGCAGAAATGTCAATCTAGAGGTTGGGGTAGGATCAGTCCACACACAGGGAGCCTTTTCAAACTTTTACTTATAAAACTTCTTCATATATACAGTATAATACACGTTTCAGTCATCCCATTCCTAATGACAGCACACCTCTTTATCAAACACACAGAACAGTTGCAAACAACAGCAGAGAAGAGAATAGTCGAGGTGTAGCCCATAGCTAATGGAGAAGTATTGCCCAAAGTTCTGCATCCTTCCGTAAGGCATGCTAGTAGTCCCTTTAGGATTAGTACTGCTCCTGTCCTTCCTTGGTTCCCCCCTAGGAGAAGCTGACAGATATCCACAGCAACTACATTTTGGTAGGCTTGATCCTGTGCCAACCCATGGGCTAACCCTCCACTTCCAATTAATCATCTATCTCCTGCTGAACTCTCGGCGGCTCCCCCGCCCACAGCTATATATAAAACTCAGCCGTGTACCATAGAGCTCCCTTCAGGCAGAGCTACCCTTAACTTACACAGTGACTCCCACAGTCATTATTTATTACCTATGGGCCCATATAGTGGCTACCCTCCTCAATCCTGCCCACTCCCCTACAGCACTACCCAGAAGTGTCACGGCTTTGCCCAAATAAAAAAGCCCAGTATTTGAATGGACCAAACAATAGTGAAAGCTGCTACAGGTACAGTATGTCTTATCTACAATGGCACATCTGTTAATCAAAAACACTGCACAACTCTTAAACGAGTCTCACTAACTCTTTAAAACAATAATCATTCATGCACTTACCTGCCCAGTTGGTTCACCATTGGTGTCACAAGCAGTGCCCCAACAAGACCTCCAATGGCAAAGATCGATACAGTAACAGACCACAGAATGGAGATAGTGTTACTACTTATGGTCTGATCATATCTCCGCGACCAACTTTCATTGTACAGTTCTCTTATGTACTGTATGCAAGAACAAAATAAAGCATTGTATAATAAATTGAATGAAAGAGGTAAAATTAGACTTGCTAACCAATTTATAGCATAATATCAAAGGAACAAAACCCTAATATCAGTGCCATGATAATGGAAACATATAACACAAATGTTACTTAATCATTTTCGATATGCTTTCCTTCACTATTTCCAAATCAGTGGGGCACCTCAAAGTCTACCTGCCACCTTTCCTAACATGCTATCCCTGGCACCTAAGCATTCTGTGCATACAGTTCTCAGTACCCTGCTGAGGGGCTTTAAACTGTGGAAATCACAAGTTTACATATAACGTATACCCATTTTTTTTTTAGAAGTGGGTTTGTCAAGAGGCTGAACTACTTAATGACTCCTTACTTGTCTCCGCAAGGAAGCCCTAAGTACCCAGATCCCCCTATCTGGACCCGTTTACAAATGTAATAGCAAAAGGGAAACTCTACCGTGACAGGGGAGGGGCTGGATTCCCCCCTACCCGCTCCGATCCGCCAGCGCTGACTGGCGGAACGTACGGGGGAGGGGGGTACAGCTGGCTCTGCCTCTAGATAGGCAGAGCCAGCTGTCACTCACGCAGCTGGGCGGATCTCGACATCGATGTCAGGATCCGCTCCGGCGTCTCAGTATACCGCGTGCTGTAGCTCGCGGTATACTGAGCTTAGGGTAACGGGAGGACGCTAGTTTGTGTCCTCCCGTTACCCTAAGGAGAACTATGGGGAAAAGCCCTGACCCCATAGTTCTCATTTAAGGCAGATCTTTACTCCATATTAGTGGGTGGGCTATTGCCATAATGTGCATGTATACAGAGCATTCTTGTACATTTTGTCACACTTTCTTTCTAGAATGCTCTCCTCCAGTATTGTGATGTCCGCAACCCTCCTTGTAATTTAATCACTGCCATCTTCTTCCAGTGTTCTTCTGGGTCCAGCATCTTCTGTGTCTCCCTGTGGGCAGCCACTGATGATGTAACTCTTGTGAATGCATTCGGGAGTTACAGCTTCCCCTGCACCCAGCAGCACTGAAAAGAACTGGAATGTACACTGCCCTGTGCATGCACCACAGGCAGTGTACACTAAATAAAGAACTGCTAGAAGGACGAAACAACTTTTTGGTAGAAAAAAGGATTTTTGAAATAGTGAAGGAAAGCATATGGAAAATGTAAAGTCCCTTCAGCCAAAAATGTCTGCTTTGTATTAGATGTTTCACTTTAGTTCTGCTTTAATACATAATGGGAACATAACAGGAAACAGGAGCCATGAAGATCCAGTTCATTACAGCTTACATTCTTACCAGTAGCAAAGAATACAGTGTGTACACAATATTTATTTTACCATTCCAGGGTTCCCCTACTACTAATCATCACTCATGTAGAGACACTGACAAATTATTTGTCCTTACAACTTAAGGGTGCAGCCAACCTCAGATATTTCTCCAAAGTTCAGGTTGCAGGTGATGCACTTTGGAGCAAGCTGAAATTGTATTTCGTTACAACAACCAAGACCGATATTTTGGTGTCCTTCAAATGTTAGTGAAAATGACATGACAAACATTTATCTCAAACACATAATTACTTTTTTAAAATGTCATCAACTATCTGAGACAAGGAGTTGCTTGAATGATTAAATATAACCAGGTCATAGTGGAAGATCAGTGAAAGTATATCTAAACTCAAGAACAAAAATATAATATGTTGCATTTTACAAGCCCTTAGATATTGTAGATGTATTAGTTTTCTTTGTTAAAGGAGAACTGTTAGGAGAGTAAAATTTACTCTTCCCAATAGTTTAAACCGGCGTGTGACACTGCAGCTAGAGAAGTGAGCAATCACAAACCGCTGATCGCTCAGCTTAATGCTTCTTCCTGCAGAGAGCAATGCCTGTCGGTCACCATTCCCTGCAGGTATTCCCCCATCTGCTCCCTCTGTTCCTCAAGTACCTTTTGGAGGGTCAGACAGGGGCGGGCACAGCTGACCCTGGCTCTAAAGAGGCAAAGCCAGCTGTCAATCAGGCAGTGGAGTGGATCCCGACACTATTGTTGGCATCTTTTATAGCTGCAGAGCGGCTCTGCACTGTCAGCATCTAGCGGCCTGCTATATGCTGGTTTTGGGTCATAGGAGGATATTAGTAAATGTACTCCTGTGACCCAAAATAGAACTATAGAAAAAAAGTTTTTGCTATAGTTCTCTTTTAAGGATTTTTTTCCCCCTTTACTTTCATACTTATTAAACAGATCAAATAAAATTGACAGTGTTTTGTTATAACAGATGAAAAGGGACCAAATGAGACGTCTATTGCTAGGATATACTGTACATACCCTTTAATGTAGCAGTCTGGAATGCATCTATCGACTGGTAAGCCCAGAGAGAAATTACTCGCAAACATTTTGTCGTATGTTGAGAAAAATGTAATTGTGGCTGCAGAAATCCATAGAACTGTAAACTAAACCCACACAGGGGACCATATATACTTCCATGCAGGATTACATCCCATGATTTGTCTGCTAATGAACACAATCCATATTGAGCATATTGACTGTTGAGTAGTAGGACATGTGTTTTTTTACTCTAGGATGCAATTTGAAGTAGAAATGGATTGTTTTTATATCATGTCTTAAATTTTTTGTATCCTTGTTAACTAACATACTTATTTTTAAAGCTGGATTTGGGGCATAATAAAAAAATAGCCCCAATGAAAGTTAACATTGGAACTACTAATCTAGAAAAAAAACTAATCTAGAAAAATGCAGTTATCTTAAAGATTACTAAAGCCAAAACTTTCTTTTTTGTTTTGGATAGAGTAGAAATGATGAAGGGGCCACCTGCATTCCATACAGCGCTATGGCCAGTTCAAATGAGGTGGTGCTCGTAGTGACAATGACAAATCCTCAAAGTGTTGTAAGGTGAGTCACCTGCACACACAAGTTCAAGATTCAAACTTAATCCTGTTTATTGTAGATAGGTCATATGGCTAACTTTTCGGGGCCATGCAGGGTTCCTTCTTCAAGGAGACACAATGAGGAAGGGACCCTGCATGGCCCCAAAACATTGGCTGTGTGACTTATATAATGAATCTTTAACTTGGATAGATTAGAAATGCATTTAAACCTCTGTCAGTTCTTTTTTTTTTGGAGGTGGAGAGAGTTCCCTCTACTTCTTATCCCAACAGCACATTAGGAAGTAAGCTATCTTTCAAGTGTAAGGGGATATCCACTCTTGGACAGTTGCCACCAGAACAGGCAGGCCTAGAACAGCAGACGGAGGCGTCTGTGTAAGGCCTACATGACAGGGGTTTGGGAAGGCAAAAAGGGGTCCTTTGAGGGTTAATTTGTCCCTAGGTTACAATGGGACATTTACCTGATTGGTCAGAGGGGTGGATGCCTGAGGAAAGAAGGTTCCAGATCCAGATGGAGTCAGCAGCGTCCCACCCTCCCGCCCTATTTGTTTTGTGGTATATGCTTTTGTTCTATATTTGCATTGTCTGACTGAATTTTGTTTTGATCTATGGTTAATGTCGCTGCAGCCTGGCAGGGTATTGGGGTCCTTAAGGAGCAATCTATGCAGTTGATGTTTAATTAAGAGCGGGAAGCTGTCTCAGGTATGGCATCCCTTTGTTAACAGGTCAGATCGTTGGTCATCTAGTGTCTGCCGTTATATTGCTCCCCGAGGAGGATGTGTACCGGCTGGGGACCATGTAGGCAGACACTGGTTGGTTTGTTGTGGGATGGCCTTCAAGGACCTCAGTTCTCGTTGTCAGTTGCTTTTGTAAAGATTTGTTATATGTCTTTATACTTAATAAATTGGCTGCTGTGGCCACTAAAATCCAATACCAGTGTCGTATCAATTAATTAGAAGGGGGATTGATATAGAAGTCTTATGCTGTTTGTTAATTGACCCTTGAAAAAAAGGTAGACATTACCCTTGTCAAGGTGTCCCCATTGGTAGCTTTCTTCTTGTTTGGATTCCCCATCACTTTCTGTCTTAGTGACAGTAGTCATCAGGATATAAACATGGGTGAATAAAAACCTAAAATCAAAGAAATAACACGCACTCCTTTTGCATTAAAAACAGATGTGTTGGTTGCAAATCTACATGGAAGCCACACTAGCTCCTCAATGCTCCTCTGTATAGTGTGGTCCCTAACTCTAATCTAGCAAAGCTTCCATCCTGAGACAATAGAGATCAAATGGAGGTAACCAATTCCTCCTTAAAGGTCCAGAGACAGATCAGAAGCCCAGCACAGCCTAAAGACAGTTGAAAACCTCCAGTATATATCATCATTCTATAACTGGACAGCACAATGGTTAGAACTTCTGCCTTACAGCACTGGAGGTCCCCAGTTCAAATCCTGGTCAGGACAGTCTCTGTAAGGAGTTTGCACATTCTCCCTGTGCTTTTGTGGGTTTCCTCCCACACTCCAATACTGGAAGGTTAATTGGCTCCTATCTAAAATTGGTCCTGTATATGTGTGCAACAGGGACCTTAGACCTTGAGCATAGGGTGTAATGTGCAGTATGTAAATTGTCAGTGCTATATAAATAAACTGGCTTTTTAGAACAAGGAGTACGTTTGCAACACACTTATCTACCAGTCAACAAACAAATTCAACACTGTGTCTCAATAGTGGGTAATGTGCATATTTGCGGGTGACGATGACAGCCAGTAAAAGCAATAAAAACCTGACAGTGCTACGACCACATTCCCTCTCTTTTTCCTATTCTAGCCTACGTTGTATCCTTGAATGGAGCCTTGTTACCCTTACGAAATATTAAGCATCCTGTTATTCAACTGACACGATCATCAGCTGAACCCCTCCCTACCCCTAATTTCCCTGAATATCAAATACGTTAATGCAACTTTATAGCAACACCTAGTCTCATCCACTATGCATGTACCATACTTCTCACACAAAATCGCATGACCAATCCTACTGGATTGGTTGGATGAGCTCATAACTGTCTTTTATCTTGTTATGCTTGATTTGCTCCCTGGAACCCTTACTTACCCAATCCCCTCTCGGTGCTGACCTTCAGTATTAACTCTATGCTATGACCATTTCACTGTTTCATTGTTTTATTTTTTTCTGCATGGTTAATGCTTGTAAGTCTTATATTTTGAAAACCAATAAAATAAATTTACTTGTGAAAAAAAAAAAACCTGACAGTGGCTCTAACTCTTCCCTACTCTCCCAAACAAAATGCTTTGACTTTAAATACATTTTAATTTTAGGCCTGAAGATTCCTTCCCATGATGCCTAGCAGCTGCATGTGCATTTGTATGTCACTGGCCCAGTATTGTAAACACTACATTTCCTGGCATCTTTTTAGTCAATGTAATTCTAATCTGGAGGGAAGGAAGAAGTGGGTGGTGCTTCAGTATACAGTATAGTGTGCTCCTTTGTATTCTTTCTATACAAGGGGGCAGTCCACAGACCAGTCTGGCACCAATTTGGTGCCTGAGAGAACACACCAGTCTAGGAACACAGACTCAGGGAAGCAAAGGAATTTTGTAGGACTAGTGGTGGAACTACTTGCACAGCGGCCCATGTGGTCGCTATGGGGTCCAGGGCAGAGGGGGCCCGGTCGAGAGCAGGAGGGAGGCTGAGGTGCAGGTGCCCTTAAGTTCTGTGTGGTCAGAAGTCAAAAACTAAGCGAGGCAACATGGAAATAACGACACCTGCAAACTTCTCCCCTGCCGTAGTGTAGTGTAGGGTAGGGTAGAAGGCGGAGTGATCGACCCGGACTCCACACAGGAACAGCGGTGGCAGTATGAGTTCTGCACTGCAGCAGGTACCCTCATAATGGGATGGGACTAGGACCTGTATGGGGGACACAGGGGGTACTGGGGGATTTTAAGGGTACTGGGGTATCCAAATATTAATAATGTATCGGTACCCACAGGAGGACATATATGGTGGACAGTTACATACATGTAACGTTCTTCTAAGCAAGTTGTCAGGGGTACCGGCACAGGTGTCGCCACACCGTATACAGGTACCCACACAGGTTGACCAAACACGTATGACCACACCGGACAAGGCAGTATGTGTTTATATTTATTTGTAGTACCAACAGGACTGCAACAAGCCGGAATCAGGCCTACAAACAGGTAACAGGACTGCAAAACAGGTAACAAGACTGCAAACAGGGAAAAGGGTTCAGGACTGCAAAACAGGTAACCAGGGTTCAGGACTGCAAACTGGTAACAAGGTTCGGGACACACAGGAAATGATAGCAGGCCACTGAGCCATCATCCTGACTGCAGGGAGGGTTTAAATATCCTCCCAGGAAGCACCAGGTGATGGCTAAGTACTGGCAGCTGGGAGACACCCACAGGTGAGCACTGGAGCTGCAGGTTCCAGCACCACCCAGTGGTGGTCTGGTGCCTAACAGCTCCTGGCTTCCTAGAGACACCTGCAGGTGAGCACAGGAACTGCAGGGCTTAGCTCCAGCGCCCCCCCCCCTTCTGGTTTGCAGAAGGGGGGGGGGGGCATCCACAATTTTGCTATGGGGCCCTGTGATTTCTAGTTATGCCCCTGTGTAGGACATATTCCTAAGTTTTTATTGTTAAAAACATGCACACTTGTCTCCTTTGTCAGTGGCAATAGCGCTACACAGCACTAGCAGCAGTGTTTCAGTTTTGGAATTGTGCTTAGGCACTTTCCCGTATTGAAAGGGTTATCAAATGGAAACTAGACGCCAGCCTGGGGGGAGACGACGTTCTAAGGTTAGAACGCATTAGCTTCCTCTAAAAGTAAAAGGATTATGAGAATGGAATGATTTTGGGATTCTAAAATCATCTACACAGGATTTGTTAAAAAGATCTATTAATAGAGTCTTAACACACTAGTTCACTGTCTTTTCGATGAAATTGCCCATTTGTGCAGTGAATCATCAGTAAGCCATTATAATAATGGTATAATGCAGTGAACTACTGTATTTTACAGGCTTCGTAAACTGATAAAGATCCATAATAACAAACAGTCTTTTTTAATAAGCAGTACAAAGAGCAAAACGCATGTGGCGAGCCATTACAATCAGAAGTAAGAAAAATTCTAAGGGGTTGTTATGGGTATTGTAGTTTTCACTTATGACTTTGTATCTAGCACTAATGCAAATGTTTTGACAGTGACAACATCCTAAACCTGTCCACATGTCACTAACTTAAATCCAACTAAACTTCCAGTTTAGATCAGCTAAATACATTCCAGGTGCATAAAAAGGTGTGCAGTAAAATTGTGTGCAGATTGGAGCCACAGACTGTGTAAAAAAGCCTATCCCCCGCCAGCATGCTGCAGAGAAGGACCCTTGCTCTTAGTGTAAAAGCAGTGGTCACTCTGCAGAGGTCCAGCACACCCCCTGCTAAGTCAGTGCTAGAGATCACCAATGAGCAGGGAACATGAGCTTTTCTGATTGCAGACCTAAAGGACATAACAGGAGTATGTGTTCAACCTCTGCAAAGAGACCACTGCTTCCACACAGAGAATAAACTGTGCACATCTTCAGTTTTGATGCTCCTGGAATGTATTGAAAGGTAAAGTTAACCTTTTAGACCATGTTTTATGTTACATCGATATTCAGGGAGCAACATGAAACATGGTCACCTCATGCACATTTTTTCTTTCATAAACATGTGCTGTTTATTATTTCTTTTTAAAAGTGAACTTTAGCTTCAACTGATATAACATCTACGCTTAAAGGTGAAGTATTGGGGGAGTAAAACATACTCTTCCTAATACTTAGAGCTGGCGTGAGACACTGCAGCTGTCTTATGCCGTCTTTATATACCGGGAGCTGAACATTCATGTGAGCTCTGATCTCTCAGCATATGGTCTCCTCCCTGCAGAGAGCGGTCACTGTCAGTCACTCCACCCCGCAGGGATTCAATCAAGGGCTCTTTGGAGGGACAGACAGGGGAGGGGGCGGGCACAGCTAGCTCTGGATTTAGAGAGGCAGAGACAGCTGTCAATCAGGCAGAGGGGTGGATCTGGACAATATTGTCGGCATCTTCCTGGCTGCAGTCTGGCTCTGCACTGCCTCAGCCCTCTATATGCTGACTTTGGGGCATAGGAAGACATTGGTAAATATACTCCTGTGACTCAAAAGAGATTTAAATCCAGTTTGTTAAAAAAAAGTCTATATGTAAACGATACATATTATGCTGGAAGAAGATCTAGAAATGCACAAATGAAGCCTTCAGTACATGTAGGACATCTGGTGCCCAGATACAGATGCATTCCAAGGCAACCAAGGTAGATTTACACTTTTAAGCAGATGTGTATAGCAGACAAATACACTTGCTGTACACTGATAAAGGGTAACATTATTGCTAGAAATGTGACTCTTACTGATTAGAGATCACTGTAATACTGTTTACACAACTTAATACACCTATAAATCACAGCACTTCCCATTATCATCTCCGCAGGCAATAATATATTATTATATTGTAACAGGTTCAGGGCGACAAGGGAAAAATATACATTTGTTCTAGTATTTACTGCTGCAGTGTCAGAATAGGTGCACTCCATAGATCTTGCAAGACTCTTACCTAACACCCCCCGCCATTCCATTTCTAACTGGCGAGTATCTAGAATACTAAGAACTCATTATTTTCACATGAATAGGCTGCAGTGTCTGACATTTAAAGTGAATCTGTGACCAGGGTATGGCCATTCATGTATTTCCATAATGTTAACAAGCAGTAAATTAGCTTTTAAGTGTAACCATCCTGTTTTCTGCTAGTTATCTAACTAATTATTTCCTTAACAATAAACTCATCATAAATTCTAGAGACTTACCAATGCAGGGGCATTCACAACAGATAAATTATAACCGTATAAGAAGGATGACCCCAGAGCACCAACAAGAGAAGCCATTATAAGCTGCCATGTAAAGTCCTAGAGTAAAAAAAAAAATATTACAATACCACATAAGCTACATGATTCATCAGTGCTGGGTATGCGTCATTTCTTCTGGCACTTCACATTTTATTGAACTCAGTGGACAAAGCTCTAGGGACAAAATTGAAGTGAAATAGTTTGATACATAAGTGTACATAAGTGTAATCATAGCAGATTGTATTGTGTGTATTCTATGTACATTACAAATTTTCACTTTTGAATTTCCCGCCGGCTGTGACACTCGAAAACGAAACTAAAAGTCAGATGCCGGCTTTTAGTTTCATTTTCGGGCCGCGTACAGCAGAGGACGCCGCGGGATCGCAGGGACAAGGTAAGTGTCACTTTTCTCTGCAGCCCCGAGTCTGGCTCGGGGTTACCGCTCCTAGCATTAAAAATTCAACTCGAGCCAGACTCGGGATTACCGCCAGGGAGGTTAAAGAAATGTAAAAATAGATGTAATGTAAAAGGACACTCCCTCCCTTAAACCAGTGCCTGCACGTCTATTTTTGTACACGCATCATGATGAACAGGTAATGGGTTCAATGTACTCTATCTGTTCACCTGGATAGGTTACAGCAACCTACACTAGATAGCCAAAAGTTTGTGTACACCTGACCATCCCCTTTAAGGTGCTCATACACCTTACGATTATCGTACGATTTTCGTATGCGATCGACTTTTCGTTCGACAATCGTATGTGTGCATTGCAGTGTCCAACCGACAGTACTGTACAATCGTACGACTTTTGACGGTCAAGCATGTTTGAAAACTTTGCTCGATCGTACGATTGTCGTAAGGTTGCTGGCATTTCCGTCCGTCAAAAGTCGTACGACCTACACTGCGCTTGCGCTAACGAAAATACGGCAAATCAATTACCGCATTTCGTCCAGGTTCTTTTCGTTAATTACGGCTAAATTAATCTTGCGATCATCGGGGCAGGATGGGGCTGCCGTACGAAGATCGTACGACTATTCGATCATCGGACGAAAAGCTTCGGCCGATAATCGTAAGGTGTATGGGCAACTTTACACTACATGGCCAGGTGTTTTCAATGAAAAGTACTGTTAATACTAAAGGATACAAAGTGATTTTGGACGATTGTGCACTTTCACCCTTGTGTCAACAGTTTAGAGAAGGCCCTTTTCTGCCCCAGAATGATAGTGCCCCGGTGCAAAAAAGCCAGGTCCATAAAGTTTGACCAGTTTTATGTGAAATAACTCAAGTGTCTTGCACAGAGGTCTGACCTTAACACTACTGCAATTTGTTTGGATGAACTGGAATGCAGACTGCATGCCAGACCTTCTTGTCCAATATCAGTACCTAACCTTTCACATGATTTGGCTGAATGGGAACAAATTCCCATAAACACATTCCAAAATCCTTCAGAAAGCTATCCAAGGAGAGTGAAAGCTGTTATAGCTGCAAAATGGGCACCAACCCCATATTAATGCCATAGTTTTGGAATGGAATGTCCAACAAGCTTATACATGTGTAATGGTCAGGTGTCTACAAAGGTTTGGCAAAATAATGTATCTGCCCTAACAAGCGAGTAACTTCCAGTCCCTTTTCCCTCCATATAAATGCAACACCTTTGTGGTGCCTGTAATAGCGAAGACTCTAGTGCCCTACTGGCATCCAAAATAGCATGTTGTTTGAGCTGGTGACCCACTCAAAGGAAACACAGGAGGTTTATTTGATAGTACGTGTCTTCCACGTTCACAGCTCTTTGTTTTCTGGCACATATTCCTGGTATATGGGCTCAATCACTCAGATGCAAATAGAGGTGTATGGGCATACAGTGTAAAATATGCCCAAAAGCCACAATTGCTGTGTTTTTGTGTCAATAGGATTGTATAGACAGAATATGCCCCACAGCCATGCCCTCCGGCCGTAGTGCGATCATCCGCACCGGAACGTGCGGCACATCAATGCCTGTGTTCCAGTCCAGTGCGATCAGAAAGAAAATAGTGCATGCAGCATTTTTTCTGACCGCACGGACCATAGAGCAGGCACTGATGTTCTACGCGTTCCAATGCGGGCGATTGCACTGCGGCTGGACTTCAAAGCACCACCATCCCCCTCCCGCCCCAAAACAAAGTGAGCCGGCCGGAATGCCATCCAGTGTGTTCTGCCACCAATCGGGCCGGAACACACGGGGGCTGGTGTGAACTAGCCCTAACTGTCAGTCTTGCAATGCTCCATGGGACTTGTAGTTCACAACAGCTGGAGGGCTCAGGGCTTATCCCTGCTCAACGGCTCAGTCACATGGACGGAAATAGAGTTGTATGTGCATACAGTATAAAATACACATGTATTTCCAGCGCCAGGTAGAATTTTCTTAATAAAATGTAAGGTTCGCGGTTTGATGGTCCCTTACCTTCTTGTGTTTCCCTTCCTTCTCGTTGTTAGCCATGGTTTCAGGATGTCCTGGTGCACAAGTGTCCTGTTTAAACAAACACCAAGAGGCTATTAGGGATTTTATATGTGCTCACATTCCTTCTGTTAAAATGATTTGTTTATATTGTGCAGTTTCTCAGTGTTGTGACATTGGAAAAATGAACTCACCAAGAATCCTGTCCCTGTTTTTGTAACTTTATCTGAAATGCTGCTAGTCACAACAGACTTCCTTGTTTTACTTTTGTAATTCAGAGAAGGCAACTGAGTAATATGACATTTATATGACAGAATGAGTAATTAACCCCCAGGAATATTGTATACTGTTAGCTGGCCAATGGCAGAGATATGTACGGGAAAGAACATGAGTGTAATGGGGAAAGGAAAAAGGAAAGCTGAGGACTGGGAACTTTTGGCCTCGAAAGGCAAACACAACCAAATTAGCTTTTCATAGGTGTAAGGACAGTTTTCTGTGGACTAAAGGGAGTGCACCACATAAAGTGTGTCATTGACTAATGGCCATTGTGAAAGGTGGAATACATCTTTTTAAAGAAGAACTCTGGGCAAATAAAATCATAACCCTTGCAGTGGGGCTAACTTTGCACTGCAAGGGTTAAGTGCTCATTTGTACTTACTCGCACAAACCTCAGATCCGGCCAGCTGTGACACTGCTCCCCCCAGCCTGTCTCCTCATCCACTGCAGCGATGGTATGTCCCTTAGTGTCCTCACTTCCTGTACACACTGTGTAGAATGTAATAATTTGAGGATCCTAAAGCTGGCCATTCCCCCTATAAATTATCTGCAGATTTTCTATGGTCAGATGGAAAAAGTGCAACAGATTCCTCCATTTGCACTAAACTGTATGGATGGAGGAATCTCCCGCTGGGCCAAGCTTCAGTATCTTGCTAGTCGGCTCCACTGGCTCTCAAAACACCTGAAAATGCCCAAATCCAATCAGATTCCGGTATTTTGACAGCCAGCAATCTATAGGAGTATGGCCAACTTAACATTCACATGACAACATCTCAACAATTGAAGCTACAAACTTAGAAATTTCACTTTAAAGGCGGTGTCAATTTTAATCTAGTTGCATTTTACAAACTTTATACATCTTTAACTGTTTTATATTTTTTCAGTATCCTTGTTTTACAAATAAACATTATATATATTACAATGTATTCTTGGAACAGTAGTGGTTATCTACAGAGATAGAGCAGATGAGCTTGCTCTGCAGCTCCTTTTGTCTAATAGAAATCTCACACTAAAGCTGGGTACACACGAAGCAAATCTCAGCCGATCCAGTTGGAATCGGATGAAATTCGATCTGTTGGTGGCCCTATCCCCTCAACAGAAGACAATCATTAGATCAATTTTTGACAAAGGGACATCCTGCAAAATCATCTGCCATACAGTGCTTGCAGCCAATCAGGAGCCAGAATAATACAGTACACAGTGGGAGATTCATTCATCCATCCATGCTGTTAGCATGAATTGATGAATATATCATATTGTTTTTCTTTCAGCCTGTAAACCTAAACAAAGAAAAAATATGACCATGTGTACTGAGCTTTAGCTGTCATTGCTCCAATGGACTCACTGTGTTCACTACAAGGGATTTTTCAGCACAGCTCAAAAGTAATCATACCAACTATTTGGCTGGATACAAGACTACATAATAATTATATGCAATATATCTTATATTTACCTGACTATAAAACTAAATGTATTTTTAGTCCTGACCATAACAAAGCAAATCTGTACAAAACCTCAATATATTCATCAAAACCTCAATATATTCATCAAAACCTCAATATATTCATTTTAGAAATGTTCAATGTCACTTTGCTTAAAGCTGAAGTCCAGGTTTACACACCTCTGACGCACAGCACAACCATGTCTGGCACAGCAGGAGAGCTGACGTATCTCTGTTGTTGGTAACACAGGTCTTTGACTTTAATTACTAAAGTACCCAAGGTTAATGTTCCAATTTCTTGTAAACTACACATATAGTCAGTCTTCCAGGCAATGTTTTCTTGTTCTGTGCTCAGAACACACTTTGAAAAGGTGAAGTAAAACTATACCGCCTTGATTCCATCCCTTGCTTGTTTAAAACCAGTGGGGTTGATTTACTAAAGGCAAATAGGCTGTTCACTTTGCAGGGGAAGTTTCCCTTTGCTTTGTGAATGAGGTAAAGTTCTGAAGTTCACCCAATCACATGCACGCAAAAATACTGTGTTTTTTTATATTCCTTACACAGAATTGGGTATTCTTTGCAAAGTGAAATTTCAACACAGTCACCAAGCTAAGGGAAACTTCCCTTGAAAAGTCCATATTCCCTTGCAAAGTGAACCGCCTATTTGCCTTTAGTAAATCAACCCCAATGTCTCCATGATGTGTCCTAACTGCCTCCCCAGCTATAGTCTTTGCACCAACATGCACTATATACATTCTTTAATCCTCAAGCATTCACCCTGTGTCAGTTCTTGCTCTCTGGTCACTACTTCTGACTGTCTTTAACAACCCCTTTCAAAATTCCCTCCATACTCTGGCATGCATCCACCAACCCTCCACGTCTTAAAATGTGCACTTGCTACCATCAGAAGGATGTAGAACCTTGATACATACAGTATCTTTACTTTTCCCACCATAATGTTACCTATACATCTCACAAATCTACCTTACCTTATGATTTTTAAGCAATTTTTTGACAGACAGAATGTCTTGGAAGCTTAAACTACCAGTATGAGTCAGTTGACTTGACTATAAGTCTATAGCTAGATTGTCATTCTGTCAGCAGGGTCTGAGAGCTACGAACCTGCATTGGTGCCCGTTCCAAGCTCTCTGCTGGAATGCTAATTTATTTATTTATTTTTTTATTACAGGAATTTATAAAGCACCAACTATTTTACTTAGCACTTTTACATACTGCACATTTGCATCAGTCCCTGCCCATAAGGAGCTTACAGTCTAAGGTCCCTATCTCACATGCATACAGGGCTGATTTAGACAGGAACCAATTTACTAATGAACATTGTCATTACAAGGAGTATTGCGAAATTAAAAAAAGTGGTTAAACTGTACTTTTTAAGTGTGTTTCTTATTTTATAATGTATTATTTGCATGTTTGCAGATAATTGTTTTAACCCTTGTATGTTCTCACTTTTTACATTGTTATGTCTATATAGTTGATATTAGGGGAGATATAAATATATATATATGCATTCATTACTGCAAAGGTAGTTAAAATGCTTGTGCATGATCTAGTCAATTGGACTTACCCCAATACAAACATCACAATCATCAAAATAAACAATAACTTTGCAACATTACCTACTCAACAAGAGAGAATATAAATTATTTTAGGGTTAGTATATCCAAAATTTGATTTCTACAGCAAAATACAAGTGTTCCTCAACAGAAGGTGTACCCACCGGCTGGCTGACTCCATTTGCTTCTTTCATTGCATTATTTGTCCTCATGTTGTTTGACAGATGTTACGAAGAAAATGACTAAGTGAGTCAAAATACTCAAAACAGATATTAATCATTAAACACATTGCTGGGTACTCTTCAACCTATTATTGGTTGGACTGTATATTTTATAATGATGAATCATTAACAGTGCATAATCAATAAAATCATTTATTTTATAGCCATGTCCCAATGACATGGAGCTTAGTTATGCGATACAGGACTGACAGTTCATCTCATAAGTTCTTCATCATGACAGTGTAGTGGGAGCTAAGGTCAGACTTTAAGGTCCGAGTTCTTGATGGATCTTCTGATTCTTGTTATGTATATAGAACTTGGTAATTCTCAGAGCATAAGGTATAGTAGATATTTTCTTTCTTCTCCAGATCCCCCCACACCCCTAAAAAAGCTACTTAGGTCAGCCCTACTATAAAAACAAGTGAACTCCTTTTATAATCTACAAAACCAGACAAAGAGCCCAGAGGCATGTGTCCACATGCGTGCGTGTGCAAGTGTGTAGTTCATAAATAACCTGATAATTAAGAGTGATCTATCTGCAAAAGTCATAAATACTGCAAATAAAACGCAAGAACTACAGACAACTGATACATAAGTCAATATGTGTGTGGGAAAATTCCCAATCTAAAAGTTTACAGCTGGCAACAAACCAGAAGTATGGAGGAGCGGATCATATGAAACCTAAGACAGGAAAAAAGGCAGAGGGAATAGACACTTTGTTGCTGTTGTAAAGACAACACAAAGTTGCGGACAGATCAAGTCAGGTTTTTATTGCTGCCTGTGTCTCCACTAGGGGATTCATCCTCCCTATTTAAGACCCCATTCACACTGAGCGATTTATCGCGCGATTTTTGTAGCGATATCGCTCATATTTCCGCACTATATCGCTCTATGTAGCTTCACCAATACAATTCAATGTAGCTGTTCACATCTCGTCGCTCAATGTCGCTCAATATCGCTCAATATCGCTTGTAGCTCGTCGCTGGTAGCTTGTCGCTTCTACATGACCCTTTTTTAGAGCGATTTTGAGCGATATTGCTCCTGATTGCATACAGCCCAATAGGAAGATGTCGCGCGACACGTCGTTCAATGTCGCTCAAAGTCGCGCGATTTGCATGTCGCTCAGTGTGAATGGGGTCTTAGACGTGCCAGTCAAGAGGAAAAGTCCAGAAAGTAAGCGCTCTCAGAAGGGGTGGGGGTGGTTATGACAAAAGGTGTGCTGCTTCTGGTGTGTGGGGACCGGGGTGTACTGACCGCTGCTCTCCTTACCCCTTTTCTTCACACCGTCACAAGGAACAGAGTTGGGTGCCCTTCCTCTACATACAAAATCCATCATCTCCCATACCATCAACCACACCGGAAGCAAGTCTGTGTTCTCCATGCCACTGGACCCATGTTGGCAGTTCCCACACGGCATCTAGATCTGTACAATCAATGTTGAACCACCAATAATGGAATTACCATCAACATCTGGACCTGGCAGACAATTCATTGCTTAGTCTGATTTGGATCTTCACCTTCACATCACGTCACCTTTTGTAATAGGCGAGCACTGCAGGGACCAGGTGCAGGTGGCCGTCGCGGTCATGCGCAGGCGCGGCGGGGATCGATAGCCCCAGCTCTCCGTGGGAACGCGGTGACGTCTGGGGAACGTCTCCGTCGTCGCCTCGCGCAGGCGCGCCGCGGTCCTCCTTCATCCCACACCTCATGGCCGTCTAGGTCGGGCGCAGGCGCGCCGGGAAGCTCCGCCCCTCCAAGACGCAGCGCTCGGCATAAAGCCGAGTCACGGTAATTGATCGGCGTCTTTCCGTTGATCGTGGAAGGACGCTGATCAATCCAGCGTTCCCTCGCCTCCACACCACCAGACTCGACTCACCCACTGAAGACTGCCACCACCAGCAGAACCGCAAGTAATCTGGGCCAGGCAAACTGAAGCCCAGGTCTCCTATGCATAACGATATAGCCCTATCTGCATTGCTCACAGCTGTCACTGCACCTTAAACTGCCTGAACTGTTTCCATTGCTCTCAGCCGTTCACTGTACCTTAAAACAGCCTGTACAATTGCATTGCTCTCAGCTGTTCACTGTACCTTAACAACCTGTACTATTGCATTGCTCTCAGCCGTTCACTGTACCTTAAAACAACCTGTACTATTGCATTGCTCTCAGCTGTTCACTGTACCCTAAAACAACCTGTACTATTGCATTGCTCTCAGCTGTTCACTGTACCCTAAAACAACCTGTACTATTGCATTTCTCCCATCAGTAGCTGTACACTCCAACCGGTCGTGCATTACTGCCAGGCAATAACCATTCGTGTGCCTGTGTTCCCCATTCCTTACTGTGTATACGGGGCGTGATGTACCGCAGCCTCCCAAACGCCTAAGCACATACAAAACTGGGCATTCTAGGGAGGAGCTGCTATTCTGATTCCCGTTCCTTAACCCTCTCCATTCCGCAGTTGAGATCCATAGAGGGTATTCGGCCCTCTCCCGAGGCGAGCATTACACCTTTAGGACCTTCATCACTGAGGTTGCAACATTGCTTACTTAATGGTAAGTTTATGAATGATACACCTGCCAATTATCCGCACTGATAGTACTCATGTGTCTATCAATTCTTTCTGGCTCACACGCTAATACTGCAGAAGTCCCATTTGAAGTGCTGACACACCACCACACAGCACCACCATCCAGTGGCGTAACAATCACCATAGTGACCCAGGCGGCCGCTATGGGGCCTGGGGCACAGGGGGGCCCGGCCAGGACATCCCTGACGCCCTGCGTGCCGCCTGGGTCACTATGGCATCTCACGCTGCTGGCTGTCACTGGCGGCTGTGAAGAGAAATGTGCCACTGTTCAGTTCACTGATAGTGATCTGTGCAGCGGCGCGTTCCTCTCTACAGCCGCTGCTGAGTCAGTGAGAGCCAGCAGCGGCGGTGAAGCAGGCTGAAACCAGCAGTGGAGGAGGCGGGGCAGGAGGCAGTGGAGGAGGTTGACTCACGTTAGGTTGTGGCGCTTTTCGCCCCCTTTTTGTCATCCTCGCTATTTCACCTGATGACAAATTTTTCAGAACATGATAGCAAATCTACATTTTTCTGTTGTCTCCAGAACAGGAGGGGAGAGAAAATCTGCCAATGGGGACATCTGTTTTTACAGCAACTTATAAAGATGGAATTTCCTTTTGCTTTGGAGATATTTTGTTGTATTTCTTTTTGTGTCTCACAAGAAAATGCTAGGGGTCTTAACCATTCCCTAACTTTAGCTTTACATGCTTTTTAACTATTGGATAGTCTGTACCTAAATTTCAAGTGTATTTCCACTTTTGCAGTCAAATTGGAGAAAACCTCACTATATGTGTATGTGTTCCCATTCACACAACATACCGAAAATAAATTTAAAAAAGAAATGTTTATTACATTTTAGATTTTTCTTTGATTCAGGCCTTTGTGCAGATTCCAGGCTACTCTGAGCAGTTTGAAAGTGAAAGTAGAGGGACAAACCAAGGGACAGACTGAGCTTCTTCTCATTAACATACAATGCTTCTAAATCTGTAACACTTTGTTAGGACAGACAGTGTTTCAATCCAGTTTACAACTGATAATGAGGAGGAAAGCTAGGTAGGATTTTCAAGCAAGTAAAAGGAGCTTAAAAATCGAAGCAAACATTTTTAAATATGTTTTTAAGTTATGCAATGTGAATGGGAACATGTAAACAAACATAAAGTTGTTGTTATCCCAATTTGGCTGCAAAAGTGAAAATTTACTACAAGTTTAGTTGATTTACTGCCCACTACCACAATTAACATTATATTTTCTTAGTTATAAGCTCATTTCTAAAGAGTTTAAAAGATTGCAAACGATCATGTAAGGCAGGGAAGCTTACTTCCTATTTTTAAAACACAAAGAATAGTACGGTTATTCTGGGAAGAAAAAAACATTTCAGTTACTACAGAGAAACTTGATTTGCCATTTAATAATGGGCAATGTTTAAAAGTGATTTCTGCTGGTGAATTGAACATTGAGCCCTGGATTTTACATTAGAGTGACACTAAATTCAAGAGTTAAATCTTAAAAATGCATTCAAGCACCTATTAAAAAAAAGGAGCATTTTGGTGTATCACTCAGCTGTAGATCCTCAAATCATCTCTGAATTTGGGCTGATACTGTCAGCATGCCAGCATGAATTCAGAGATTTGAGGATCTACAGCTGAGTGATGCACAAATTAGCTACATATCTGTTAATAGTTAAGGTACTTGAATGCATTTGTAAGATTTAAGGATGGACATTCAGATGGTGAGTGAATAGCAGCAAATACTGTATTGTCCAATTGGGTGAATAGACCAGATACATGTATCTATAATTTGTGGCAAATCTTCTAAAAGTCATTCACTATAAAAAAAAAGCAGTATATGACTGCTTATTCCAGGGGTAGCCAAACTCCGGCCCTCCAGCTGTGGTGGAACTACAAATCCCATGAGTCATTGCAAGATTCTCACAGACATGACTCCCGGAGAGAGATGCATCATGGGATTTGTAGTTTCACCACAGCTGAAGGGCCGGAGTTTGGCTACCCCTGGCTTATTCAATGTTTGCTGCTCTACAGATATAGATATGGTCATAATCTGCCTCTTTATTGGTAACATTAACACCGTTAAAACTAGGGATGTCCTGATACCACTTTTTCAAGACCAAGTACAAGTACTTCCCCTCATGTACTTGCCGATACCAATTACCGATACTTTTTCGTAACGGGACAGGTGACATTTAAACAAAACAAATAAAACAATACAGACTAATGATTTTAGGCTAATTTCTTTATGATTATGAAGAACTTTCATTTAAGACTGGTTTAGAACAATAAAACATTACTATTTGCTTTCACACAGCTTCAGTGAAACTACAAATCCGATCATGCATCTGCCTCTGGGATAATTGAACCTATTCCTGTTAGCAGGGCAGAATTGTAAATCTATTGCTGTAGTGTAGTGGAGGCGCTATGTATCGGGGCATTTTGACACGTACAAGTACTTGTCAAGATGCCCTGTATCGGTCCCGATACCGATGATAGTATCGGTATCAGGACATCCCTAGTTAAAACACTACAAGTGTTTAAAAATAAAGACAGGATGTGTTTCATTGCATCCTTATAGCTTGAATAAGAAAGTGATACAATATGCTTCATAATGAATCTCTTTAATGTGTGCTGAGACACGTTAAGAAAATATCCACAAAGTCAAAAACTGTTCTTGTAGTAATGACTATCTCTGTTGGGGCTTAATGTGCTTCAAAGGAGAGGCTGTTAATTAACTGGTTATTCTTGAAACAGCATAATGTGTTTGATTTATAAACATGAGAAGATAATTAGAGGATTCCAATTAAAAGTTTCTGAAAATTGAATTTTAACTTCATTTCCTCATATTATAACATACTCCATGTGTTTCCCTCATGCACATAGAAGAATATGTTGTGGGGCAGGACAATAAATTGTGTCCCTACAGGAGATATTCATAAACTGAACGTGATCATTACAGGTCTTAACTGCATATAGTTACCAGAGAATAATAGGATGCACTTAATGTTAAATTATTTTCGTGGAACCTATTGAACAACACAGGAATTCTTACACTTCTGGGTTAAACTGCCATCTACAGTGTGACTCGACACTGGCAAACAAAAAACCGTGGGCCTACCTTGGGTATAACCTCTCCCATGAGCATGCATTAATAGTAACAAGAACAATGGCCATAAACACAGCGGGACTTGTGTCTCTCAATGGACTGCAAACATTTTTTTACTGGTGGACTGCAAACATTTTTTTACTGGGACTACAAAAATCCTATTTTCTCTCTCATTCATTGAGAAAGCACCCTCCCAGTGCCGAGGGCATGTGGCCTGGTATGGGAGGGAGGGGGGTGGCCTCTCGCTCGTCCCCCCCTTTCCGGCCCTGCCAGGCCTATGCTTGGATCAAGGGTCTGTTATGGAAATTTAGGGAGGACCCCACGTTCCCCTCCCCCATTTTTGGGGGTGGGGTTCCTCCTTAAAATTCCTACCAGACCTTAAGGGCCTGGTAGGGACTTTAAGGGGGAACCCCACACACTTTTATTTTTTTTCTACATGGAGTCCCTCCTAAATATTCCTACCAGACCTTAAGGGTCTGGTATGACTTTTAAAGGGAACCCCACACTTTTTGTTTTTAAATGGGGTCCCTCCTAACATTCCTACCAGACCTGAAGTACCAGAGTACCATTCCTACCAGACCTGAAGATAATAATATTTTTTTGCTGCAGCAGGTTCTATACATTGTACAGATGTGCCACTTTACAGGCAGGTTAAGGGGACCCCCCCAGGCACAATATTTAAAGGAATTTTTCATTTTTATTGTTACCCTTTAGGTGATGTTAAAATAACTGCTCCTTTCAAATTTTTATTTTTTAAAAGTTTTTTTTCCCCATTGATTTGTCCCCCAGGGCAGTACCCGGATCCCCATAGCCTTTTATGACCAATAACTTGCATATGAGCCCTCTTAAAGGGGACAATTGTTTTTGAAAGTTCTATCCCCATAGAATTGCATTGAGTTTGAGTTCTAACTTTTTGGGTGTTCTAAAGTTTGAATTCGAACCAAACTCAGGCCTGTTCGGCCCATCACTACTGATGTGGCATTTGGTCCACAAGATTGGAAATCTACTATTCTGTGCTAGCATCTACAA